TTTCCGTAAATTTTCGTAATTCTGGCGGAAATTTTTATACGTCACAAAAATTTCCGCCAGAATTACGAAAATTTACGAAAAAATTACGGCATAAATTTTCATGAACGTTTTGAATTTAAACGTGAATTTCTCCTCGAATATCGATGCTATAGTAATGAAACACATATCATCTTGTAGCCAAAAACTAGGACTTTCGATCTATCTTAGAAACATCTTAGTAGAAAATCGCTCCCTGTCACTTAAATCTCAGCCAAAGTTAAAAAATCAAATTTTTCAGGCAGAAATTTCCAGAAGTCATGTGATATTCTGTAAATCGACACCTAATTAAATTTCCTGATGTACATAATAGATAATACTTGAAGACGTGCAATCTTAAGGCCAATTACCTTATATCATGTATTCCAGAAATCTATTAATACCTCACACTCCGATTCCAGATTAAATTGAAATATATATTCTTCCAAAATCGCAATATCAGGCTTGTATTTCTGTGCCTGCACAATTAATTCGTATGTCGCATTTCTATGATTCACATTAAGCTTAGACAATTTTGAAAGTAAATCTGATAATTTCGAATAAGTAGAACTCGCAATCCTATCTAATACATTAAGGTAATCATTATATCTCATAGAGATACCTGAAGGCCTAGTCATGTCAGCTTCACTAATGCCAGAACATATTTTTTCAGCGTGAGTGGTGGCATCTTTCCATAAATGGGAGATAATGGTTTCATCTTTTTTCAGGGCATCACATAAGTTCTTGATATAATTTTTAAGCCACTTTTTAGCCAATTTCTGTGACTCTACATCTTTGATATTTGCTATTTCATCCTCATCTAGACTCAGAGAGTCACTGCTTTGCAATGAATCCTTAATATTTTTCGATTCCTTTTTCTTTGATTTCTTTTTACGATTCAAGGCTTTTGCCAGAGATTCAGGTAATGGTTGGTATTTATCATCATAATTTATAAAACGGGTACAAAGAGTAAATAAACTCTTGGTATAATAATCAATATTTATTTTCTTATTAAACCTTTTTACCACATCTGAATATTCCATACAGTCCCTTTTTTTCTGTGATATTTTTTTTCTGCAATTATCATAAATCTCTTCGGGTACTACTACAATGTAACTAAATCATTCACCGGGTTTGGGAACTTTATATAAATACTCATTGACAAATAAACCCTTCTTTATAAGCTGTTGATTTTCCAATACCTCGTGACCATATCTAGCTCCCATCCGTAAAACAAACTGTTCTACAGAAATATTTCCCTGCTTACCCTCCTTTTTAGGTCTCCATATACATGTCTGAATAAATTCATCATAATCTAACTTGGAAAGTTTTTCTACATTTTCCCAAAGAATTTTTTCAACAATCTGATACATCGTTTCCCCATTATTAACTTTTAAAGTTCTATTCATAATTTCCTTACCTACATCGCGGAAGAGCTTAGATTGACCTCTTTTTACGGTATCCACTCCTTTAATGAAAAGTTCATCTGGATTGAAATTTGGCTTCTTTTTATGCTTAAGACCATGGTATTTTTTCTTTCCTGTAAATACTATGAGAAATAAGACCTCCTCATATGCCATATTAAGATAAGGTATTCCATTGTCCTTTTCAAGCTCTGTATTTATTTCATTACAGAGGTTTGCCATTACTTTCATAGAGATTTTTACCATTTCCTCCCAGTACTTTTCTTGTGTGAATTGATCTAATTTATATTTTCGATCACACTCTTGAAAACACTCTTCTGGACATGTGAGATATAAAGAATCAGTATTTCCATATTTAACGTCAAATCCTTTATCTTCAACAAATTTTTTAACAAATTTAATATTACATCGTCCAGCGGAAGTAACCCTACCTGCTAAATGAAGTTGATAGAATGGAGAGAGATTATTACCTGCTTCACCATAAAATATATTCATATATAATTTTACCACCTTTTGTTTTGAGTCTAAGCAACTATATTCGAAACTTTTCTCATCCAATTCATTGAGACATTCTTTCATTTTCTTTCGTTTATTAAATAGATTTTCTAACACCCTAGCATATAAACCCTTTTTTTCATGTATATTATTATGGCGAATAGATCAAGCTTCTATAGTCCGACCATTAAATGAAAACTCAATCTTGTGAAGTTTCTTTCCACTACGTAGTACATTTATCGCCTCTTCACGAGATAGTATAATCTTATCGGGTGAGAGGTTGTAAGTCATCATAAGACTTGAATATAGGGAAGCAAAATCTAAGCCTGTTACTGGGCGTTTGTTTTCGAGACCTTTTATCAATGCAATAACATAAGTTCCTGGGTACTTATCAGATTCTGTATTTTCTGAAGCAATCATACTACACAACATGTTACTGCTCCAAGCTTCAGCTCCCAAAAGATTACATACTTTCATACCCCCCACAAAATAATGAGAATCAGAAAGAGAAACATACACAATAGATGATACCTCCCGATAATTATTAATTACATTATGCTTAACTATAAGCTCTTGACATCTCAGTGCATCTATTATACAATAATTTGTCACTTCATGCATATTTTTTGCAGAAACATCAGA